TAAAGAAAGCTCGCAAAACATTCTATAGCGTGGCCGTGTGTCAGACAACAAGCTGACATTCATTTTATGTATGCCCTATGTTAAGTAGCGATGAAGTGTGGCAAAACAGCTTAGAATTTAAAGATGGAGACGTAGTAATGACTAGCAATTAGCGACAAATATACAGCCACTCTGTACCCTTAAGTAGCACAAAACTTCTCTAAATTACTTTTCTCAGTTCTTCATCACTCCAGTCGCTCTTATCCACTGCACTGGAGTCTTGTTCCTTAAAAAGCGTAGAAGTGCTATCAAAGTTGTCCAACGAATCTCTATGAGAGCTGCTAGCATTGAAGATCTGGATTTCCTCCCAAATTAGTTCTGTAGCAAAGCAGTTTCAAGACTGTAGGAGTTCAAAGCAGTGCTTGTCTGGTAACTACCTCTCCAATCGTCCAGTGTAACCGCCGCCTCCTCACTTGCATCCACCTCAACGATATGATCAGCAATAGGTTCTCCTTCAGGATAGCGGCATTCCTGTACATACGGATGCTCCAACGCTACGGAAACGGAAATTCTAAATACGATTCAAAAAAAGAATACAAAAATTGTAAGTTTTTTTGAGAAACTAAATGTAAGTGATACCTGTCATCAGGATCTAGAGCAAGCATCTTTCCTAACAAATCAACAGCTTCCGCTGACGCGTTTGGCAATATAGTGAAAAAATCGACACGAGGCATCCAAGGCAAATTCCTTAAAAATACATATCTTCCTTCATTTGTGATATACACAGCAAACTTCACGCTCTAAGTCAGATCAATTTTGCACTCCTAGAAGTTAAAGAGCATGAAGATATTTGAAACTTTTCGTCAACATTATTTTCGTGCAGTAACTCCCAGTAAAATTATAGGATATCATGTGCACGTCTCAGAATTCATGTACTATTTTTCATGCTGGTAGTTCATGATATCAATGAATCTCTCGGTATAAAAAATTATTGGGTTTGATCAAGCATGATTTAGCTAGTCACTTCCCTCTTTTTACATACTTTGTTT